TGTGATGCAAGAGGATGACTTTGCGTCTGTTAATTGCAATATATCGTCCAGTTTGTTCAACTGTCGTCGGCAGACATGTGCACTAACAGTTTCATCCGGTTTTAGTGGCTCGTAATGCACTACAACTTGCTGATCCCATCATATGCACAGCAAAACTTTATGGCCATGAACATTCCACATCGATGTCGATGTGGATGGCTCTCCTGAATTAACCCATGACTTGTTGCCCTTGGCCCACTTTTCTTTGCCAGTCGCAATACGCCACAGAAAACTCTTCTGCCCTCCTTGGCCTGGCAAGCAATGAAACCGCAATGTTCAAACGGTTCGAAATGGCATTCTTGGTCAATTCGCGTGGTAACCATTTTTTCTCCTCTTGGATCTTTCCCATCGCATCTAAACACCTAGAAACAGATATATACAATGTTTGAAATCATTTTCTCAATTAGCAACACATTATAAGCAATTCCATCTCACAAAGATAATTTTAGTGTATGTAGATATGTTTTTACAAAGATTTATTATTAATATTGATTTTCTTTTTTTTATGATTGTAGACTAAAAAAATGCATTTTATTTTATCTGATTGCATGTAATCATTTTTTGTGTAAAATTTTATTTTATTACGCAACTTTTGGTCGATATTTTAAAAGTGCTACAAAAAGGCTTTCTGCTCTTATTCCAAATTTAAAGATAAAATTCCGAAAAATGTTCCCAAAATTCCTAATTTGTCTATCTTTACTTTCAGCAAATTATTAAAAGGAATAACAATTTGTTTTGTTTTTAATTTATTCACTACAAATAGGTCTTAATCGTTACAACTGTATGAGTCGGCAGCTTATTCGGTACAAGTATGTCTCAATCGTTATAAATCAATCGTCATAAATAGATCGTAAATAGAACGGTTTCAATGTTATGACTCTATGTACTCTTACTCTTTGTACTTTTAATGATTGGTTTTGCATTGTTATCTTTTTATATATGCTACACAATTTGCGGTACAAGGGTATATTTACCTTGGGCGGATATACGGAACGTTCAGAATGAATTGAGGTAGATCCATCTTTTATTACATTAGTCGTTTCAGAATCATAATCTGAATTGATATAAGGCTATCTGTCTGTCTATCTGTCCGTCATGTTTTTTTTTTTTTTCAGCCTATAGACCGCAATTTTTGAGACATTTTGACGAAACTCGGTACACCAGCTTGTTTGTTTTGATCAGACAACCTTTTCGGCCTCTTTCCATGTAACGCCTTATTTTGAAAATTCATTATACGAAGAAGCGTAGGATGGTGCTAGTGGTATAGTGTTTTTGTTTATTTTTAAAGAAAATTTCAATTTTTCCTCATTTGTTTATGGCAACATAAGCTTTTGAAATATTTCACTTATATTCGACTACCGTTGGTTTTATTAAATTTTTTTTTCTTTATCCTTGAGTGTATAGAAAATTAATTTGCATTTAAAGTGCAAGTGAGAGATGAGACAAAGCAAAATGAAAACAATTTGCAATATCTTGTAATTTAATGCAATCTTCACTTCATTTCACGATTTTAAATGCATTCGAACCAATATATGTGCGTATATATAGCGCTAATGACTTTTGCCCGGTTTTTGATAAAATACAACTTTAGTTAAGACATAATGATCGCAGTACGCACTATTTTTGTCTATGGCTTTTTGGCTCATGTTTTGGGTAGCTTACGAAGGCTCTCACTTCAGAGACTGGAAACATACCGATTCCTAAGTGAAATAGTCATCGATCAATTTTCGCATACCTTCAACTTTTCAGAGCTGCTCTTCTGCTACATCGATCTGAAGTAGATGCTAATTGGACGGAGACAACGCTTACTTACTTACTTACTGTATTTCCTTTCCAAGCCAACTTAATAATTTCGGCTTAGGTTCAGTTACACTCTTGTCCAATTTAATGCATAAGAAAGCCCACTGCCTTAAATGGCATTCACTCTTTGCACCTTGATATAGATTGAAGAACGGCTAGTGAACTTGTGTCGTACAAGCATGAATGTCCCGAAATTTCGGGCGGAATTGCACAGTTTTCCATTTGCAAAATTAATTTACCCATTCACTTATGTGTATGATATAATGTTTCCAACTCGTATCTTTGTATGTTACAAATATTTAATAAATTTGATAGATCGGTCAATAATTTCCGTGACTAAGTAAAAATAAACATTCCTTTTTGTAAAGTTCGACCTTATTCATCAACATTGTTTACCTCAAATTTGATATAAGCAGATCAGCTAAGCTTTGTACACATTTGTAAAGAGCCTCAGGTTCCGCAATGTCCTCATCATTTGTGACCTCAATTGTTGTCGCTCGAACATTTTTCAGAATATTTGCAAAAAGATAAAAATCGCTTTTAGTCAGATCCATAGAATACTGTCGGTCGAATAGCAATCTGAGCTCCGGTTCATACAAGTTTACAACGTTACAGTCATCGACTCGCGATAGTGCATTTGTTCGATTGTGAATGGAAACTTAATTTTCTTACATTCGCACTTTTATGGCAAATAGTGAATAAACGGCTTTTTGAGGTCTACGTAATCTCACCATAACATAAACAAATTGGCATGAAATTTGGAGAGGCTTCGTTTAAATATTGATACTTATATCGATTTTTTTATTAAAGTCGACATATTTGTCCATCCCGAGAGTTATCAACCGTTATATTAATAAGTTACCTGTAGTGCGCTTTTATATTGAAAATTTATTATAGATATTTTCAAAAATATAAAAATGTGAATATGAAATATACAGGGTCCTAAAACTTACGCAAGATTTGAATTAAATAGGAGACAAAGTTATTTACTTATATCCATCACCGAAGGACGAATGGTGTATTCACTTTGTCAAAATGTTTGCAACGTTCAGAACAAAGCATCAGAGATCCCACGAAAGATATATATTTTCGTGATTAGCATCAAATTCTAAATTGATTTGAGCATGTCCGTCTGTCTGTCTATCCACATGTGTAATGTCTGTTGTAAACAATCTTCCGGCCGCAAAAATCGACTTCAAATTTGGCAGAATTTTTGGAAATTCTTAAGATTAGCGAAGCCATCTGTATGCAGATGAACTGCATGGCTTAGGATGGTTTTTCTTTAAGGTTAAATCAATATTCCGATCATATTTTGTACGAAATTTGCGAACTATGGCCGCCAAACGCTTTGCTCTCTCCTGTAACGCTCCATTTTTACTAACACTAAACTGTCAACTGTCAAATGGTTTTTTTTTTTTTTTTGTTGCCTGAAAATTCAAATCTTGCGTAAATTTTAGGACAATCTATATAAGTAAAAAAATTTGAGAAGCGAAATATTTATTTTTAAAATCTGAAACATCAAACATTCCATAAAGTCTTGCTAAGCAAATACTTCTACTAAAAGTTAATATATAGTTGTCGTGTGGTTTATGTGTATGCACGAAATATACTTACGATAGACTAAATTTTAATTTCAAAAGACTTTGTTTTAAGTAAATTAAAAATATAAAACATTTCTTTAAAAATCAAGAAAAAAGAATTAAAAGCACTATAGTCGGACAAGGCTCATCGTTAAATACTCTACACTAGTTCGCTTAATCCAGTTACAACATAAGGCCTTACACTCGAATTGGTTCGATCCGAACCATTCTCCATGGCATTTGTCCTGGGGCCAAAACGCTTCCGTGCAATAAATTTCATCAAAATATGTCAAAAATGGCGGCCTGCAGGTTGAACACAAGAAAGCAAGGCGGATTGATGGGTAGACGGACAGACAAGCTTAAATCAATTCGGAAAGTGACTGTGGATCGGTCGGTATAATAAGGGGTCTATTTCAAGTCTTTCGGGATGTTGCATCCGCGTAAACTCGATATATGCTTGCAAGTGGTGTAGGGTGTAATTATTGTGATGAAAAAAAAAAATGTTTATAGTATATGTGGAACCTTTAAGGGCAGTTATTTCGATAGACAACTTTTGAAAACGGTACGCACGGAAACCCAAACAATTTCCATTTTTATACCTATCACCGAAGGATGAGAGGTATATTCCATCCATCAAAACGTTTGTCCAGAAGGAAGAGTTAGAGAACCACCAAGTGTATATATTCTTGATCAGCATCAAATTCTGAATCGATTTAAGCATGTCTGTTTGTCCGTCCGTCCGTGTAATGTCTATTGTAAACATTCCCCTGGCCTTAAAAATGAAGCAAAACCATTGGATGTTCTTGCACACAGATTGGAATCGTAAATGGATCAAATGGGTCGAAG